GCGAAAGACCCTCAAGCCACCCGTAACCCCGTTACAAAAGGAAGAGACGGCTGCAGGCAGAGGAAGGCAGACCGGAGCCGAGATCCCGGGAGGCAAAAAACCAGCGCGTGGCTCACCTTGTGTTTGGATTTCCTTTTCTTCTTGGATCTCCTCTTCTCCTTCTCCCTCTCTTTCCGACGCTTGCGCTTCATCCGTCGATGGGCTTTCTCATCGTCCGAATCGCTGTGGTGCTTCTCCCCTTTCTCCTTCCGACTTCTCTCTCGAGATTCGGAGGGGTCCTGCGCCTCCTCCCCTCCGTCGTCCTCCAGCTCCCCTTCCTCCAGCTCTCCATCCTCCCTGTAAAGCAGACAGGCACGTTCAATTCCCCTTCTGCACAAAAAACCAGAAGAAAATAAAACCTGCTTATTCTGTTCACCAGCCAGCCAGGCGCTCGGCTCCCAGTTCAATTAAAAATGACTCGGGTATGGGTTACGAGGAGCTTTTTACAGCCTCGTCACGGACGGCACGGGTTCAGTCAGCTCCCTCGCCTTCTCCTGCTCTCCCGAGTCTGTCGCCGCGCGATTTAAAACGAGAGCGGGGTCTCCTCCTCGCTCTTCACTTCACGTAAGCTATCATTAAAAACATAAACGCCTGCCTACTTCTGTATGTCAGTCATTCATAAATAACCATCTGGGAGTGTTTCGGGGGCAGATCTTTGACCGGCACCCCTCTGGTTGGGGTCTTTCTGGGGGGGCTGTGGCAAGGAAGACGGAAACTGGGCTGGAGGAAGGACCCGCCGCTGCTCGGTAGCTCTCGGCAGGTCTGGAAGCCGAAATGGGGTTTAGGAACGACGTTCGGAAAAAGCTGTGCCGCACACACGAGCCGACCTGCTGCTGAATTCAGGTTACATTTCAAAAAAAACCCAAGAAAAACCGAATGATTTCCCTAAACACGTACAAAAAAACGCCAAAGCAGAGCGAACGATCCCCAGGAAGCGTCCTGGGGAGGTTTCGGCATCGTGGCGAGCACCCAGCCGCCCGAGGCGAAGTTCCCCTCTTGTTTCGGTCTGCGCTCGCGCCATTTTGATCCCAGACTCGCTCCCAAGCCCAGCTCACTTCAGTACTACTCGTGACGCTCCCGAGCCCGACGCGTAACTCCTAGGTGTAAATACAGGTTTTCAAGGCGAGTAGCGGTGGAAACGGCTTCTGTCGCAGGAACGTGGCACCCTTCGGGCGTCTGCGTTCGGCGAGAGCAGCCTTGGAGCAGGACCTGAGGAGCTCGCGCTCCGCACAAAGCCGAGCAGAAGTAAAAACCAGAACCGAACCCGCCGATGGAGAGGAATTTAAACGCCCGTGTATTTAAACACTTCAACAAAAGCCCTGCCAAAGCCTCTCTCTGTTCCCTCGAGGGACAGGATCGTCAATAAACGGTTTTCGAACCCGAAACGCCACCAAGTTTCCGGATTTGGTTTCCAGCGACCCGCTAGCAGCGGACCAGCGAGCGCGGCGAGGCGAAAACCCCGACGCAGCTCAGCCCGGGCACGCGCCAAGGCTCGTAGGAAACGAGGAGATGCTACAAAGCCCGCTGCGGCCCGATAAACGACCTCAGACCGTATGTCTGCTGCGAAAAATGGCTACTCCCCGCGGCATCGCGCCGCTGAAGTCGGCGCCGTTTAGCCCTCTCCCGGGAGTCCCCTCCGGCTGGGGACGGCGGTCGCTCCCTGCCTTCACCGCGGCGCAAACGCCTGTCACTAACACCTTAATTGCAATTTTCAGGACTTAATTACCCTCGGCTTTGACAGCACAGGCGTTTTGACCCTGCCTTGAGTCGCTCTGGTCCGATACCGCGGTTTGGAGGAGCGCCCACCCCCGGCGCCGCGTCCCGATCGACGCTCGCGTCACTAAATTCGCGGCGGTCACAGAAACGACGACCAAAACGGCTCCTGAGAGCAAGGCGTAAAAATTCGGCGGCCGCAGCGAGGGTTATTTGAAAAGCACCGAGGCCAAACCGTCAAAACGACCGCTGGGCCGTTTCGCGGACGAGTGTTCATTATTCAAGCACATCCCTCCTAAAGGAAAGCCTGAGAAATCACGTTTGTGCAGACGCGGAGATCCCAGACTACACCTGAAGACGGGCAACACCATCTCCCGCCGTTTTTTGACTCCACTTCTGCCAAATTTGCGTAGGTTTGGGTCAGAAACGACACAGCAGCCTCTCAAGAGAGACTGCGGGGCTGGTGTTTCGCGCTGGGAAAGCGCCCTGCAAAGTTTTAGGCGAGCGTTGTCAAAGCGTTGAGTTCGCTTAACGGGTTTAAACGCACCCAAACGGAGTCGTTTGCGATACGGCGACCGGTCCCAGTGAAGAAGCCATGTCTGTTAAGCAACTATTGGTACTGCAGAAAACACTGACTGGGGGCAAATTCTGCCCCAAATCCACGCTCATCTCAGGCTTTCCTATCGCTCCTGCCCGCCTGATCTATAGGGCACGGTCTGCGGCGCAGCACGCATCCTCGTGGAAGAACCCACGCCGGCTGCCGCGGCGGCGTTTTGTGAC